AATGCCATCCACGGCCTCCTGCAACAAGCTCTCAATCTCATTTTCTAAATTTTTTTCACTCTCATTATATCTTAGCTTTTGCATAGTCAATTTTAGCAAATTTTACCTGAACTATTGGACACGATTGCAACGAGTTCATTTTCTTACGTGATAGGGTCGTTAATTCAATATCTTGTACATGCAACACTACATTTGTTTTTTTTTTTTTCCATTTTAATTGACTATACGAGTAATCACTCTAGAATCTATATGCATAATGTCTTTATGATTTATTTTTTATACACAAATAATATATACACGATCACCATTGAATGCATGATAACTGATTTGAATGTTAACTTGAAATCCAAATTTTACATATATATAATACATCCAATCGTGATAATATATACACCACCAATATGGATAAAATTAATTCATATTTTTAACATCCATGTTTTATATGTTTCAAAAAGAAATTAACACCTTATTTCATTTATTTGATTGAATATTAGAAACCTCCCTGCTGAAAGTAAATTGTAAGAGTGTCAAATTTGATGTTTGCCGTTTTTTTAAAGATATGAACATTAATAAAGATACATCAATCAAAGCTACCCCCAAAAAAAAAAGCATATAAAGGACAAAGGGTTTTATGGCACAGACTTGCTAATACATAAATTCCTTGATTGAGTTCAAAACTTAATGCACTTTCACCGACAATATGCCAAAAATACCCTTACTCGAAGACTTTGGAAGTTCCAAGTGTTTGAGACTAATGGGATGCATAAACTATTATGAATTAATCTTTTCTACACAACACAACAGTGTATCCATTGTCTGCTAGTTTTTGATGAATGACAGTAATTCAATTTCAAATTTGAATTTGAATTGTCTGTAAAATTTGAACTTGAAATTCAATTTTTTTGCACGTATCATTAATCCAATGGTGATAGTGTACATATTATCAGTGTATATAAGGTTTACTCAAATATTTAACATTAATTTTTGAATTTGACCTAAAAGATCTGTGTCACTAATAGCATGAAGATGGAACTTAAACCTAAGAACATGATTAAATAACCGTTCCAAATTTTCATGGATTTAAAGGACGACTTGATTTCTCCTTCTAACTAATTAAGTTGGTCATGCATGCTACGAGGGTGGCGTGATTTTGAGGGCCGACATATAGAATAACAATGCAATTATTGGTACTTTGGGATTAATCCCAGATGCCTTTTTCTGAATTAGTCTTTTTATTATTGTAATTACTTGGAGTTATGTTAAAATTCCCTATAGCACTTTATAGTCCACTTGCTGCTATGGGTACCAAATGGAATCCTAGTTGGATTCATTATGTTCCTTCGACCGTCTTCCCATTTGAATATGTTTTGCGTGCACGAAACACGTCCTTGCCAAAATGCAATTGGCGTTGCAATCATTTGTCTATTGGTGACATTTATCTTGAGACCATCAACCATTGTATGTATCAATTATCATGTCTAGACCTGAGATTTGTGTCCATAAGGTAGACTTATCAGAATGAGTCCAAGCGAAAGTGGTGCTAATCTAAATTAATACTATGCTCTTTTCGTGTTTTGTATTTCATGGTAGCTTAAATATTTTGTTCTGCTCTATATGGGTAATCTTGAGAGTAAATTAAAACTCTGAATATTCTCTACATAGTTGACCCGTAATTTCATGCACAAAGCTAGCTCCAAGGCCTTATTTTTGGCCTCTAACGTCATATGGTTTTTCTAGCATACGGTAGCACTACGACCTTATGCTGTGTACTATTTTACTTTGTAACAAATGATGATAGTTCCTTCACTAAAAATGTAAGTGGCTGTAGTTTAGTGGTAAGAATTCCACGTTGTGGCCGTGGAGACCTGGGCTCGAATCCCAGCAGCCACATTTTCTGTTTTATATGATTGCACTTAAAATGCAATAATTGTTTTTGAAACCTTTCTCCTTTTTTTTTCTCCTGAATTTAGCTTGTTGCCATATAATGGATTAGAAATTTACTTAAGATAGAATGGCGTCTCTAACACGGCCATTGGCCAACCTATTACAAACTTTAATACTTGCACATGTTTAGGTAAGAATGGGTAGCAATAAAGCCTTTAGGGGATTGCCTTTAAAAAAAAAAAAACTTTAATACAAACTTTAATACTTGCACATGCTTAGGTAAATGGGTAGCATTGAAGCCTTTAGGGGATTGCCTTTATTAAAAAAAAAAAAAAAAGCCTTAAGGGGATTAAATGTTTTTAACTGTGTTATTCAAAAATCACACTGTAAAAAATTTGTTAGGTGCACAGTGCACCTACCATAACCACCAACCACCTCGATCACCACTATTCATCTCCACTACTACTATTGCCCTTCCTCCCTCTTTCTCTCTCCTCTTCATCCTCCCTTCTCTTTGGTCTTGGGAAGAGGTATCGATAGAGGAGGGGAGGAAAGAAAGAGAGAGGGGGGAAGAGTGAGGGAGAGAAAGGAGAAAGGAAAGAAAGAGCTAAACCCAACTTCAAAAACACTTTTATCCTAATATATTAAATAAGAACAAAGTGTCTATTTAATAAGTTTAGACCTTCTAAAGGATAAAAAATAGGTAAAGTTTAGGAAAATTTAACGTTTTTTGTGAACACATTTTTCAGTTTTTTTTTTTAATTATAAACATCAAATTATTATGGTACATTTTTCTATAAAAATTAAAAAAAAATTCAAACAACACCTTACGAGTCAATCATATTTGACCTGTAACATTTAACCATGTCTTGTGTATACTTGTATTATGTAGATAGTTAGTAAGGTTGGGCTGTATTGGGTACTCATCCTGTGCATTATTTTGTTGAATCAACCAACACCTTATGGGTCAGTCATTTTCTGACTTTTACTAAGCCCATATATTAGCAAGTACTTGGTTAACGAGTACCCATTGAGGTACGATCGAATCAATAGGTACCTGTTCTACCTCGTTTATCATTTATTTTTTTTAAAAAATAATTTATACTAAAATAATTTTATATTTTACATATTCATATAAGATTTAATAAATGTTTTCTCAAAAAAGTTTCCTACCATGATTATTAGTTTCATCGTTTATCATTATTTTACTTATTTAGCTTTAAAAATATTACTTTGTAGTATGTGTATACAAATAAAAATAAAAAATATATATACCAAACGGATTGGATATCTATGGGTTCTTAATCACGTAGCACTAACCCGACCCTGTATATAAGCGCGGATTTTTTTATTTATTTTGGCCCAACCCTAGTATTTTTTCTTTTTTTTTTTTGTCGATACGATAGATTTCTACACTAAGGAGAGGAGGAGGACTTGAAAAGGTCTAAAAGTAACCCGAAAGGGATTGAACCACTGGACTAGATGAATGCACTGTACACCCGTTTGAAGTTTTTAAACAAAGCCAATTTTTAATATGGCGAATTGATGGGAGGCAACGTTTAATGAACCCTTGTCTCCCACCCTACAAAGATTTAATGCAATGATGGTGGCTACCGGTCCAAAGGCAGTGGTTTTGGCCCAACCCTAGTCGTAACGCTGGAGCCATGGTTGATTTTAATCTAGAATTCTACTGGCATCCGCGACGCTGGCTGCACTTTTCACTAGCCAGCCAATTCCCCGATACTTTCCACGTGGACAGCCGGTCGCCGCTTGCTTAAGGAGCCGTCAACTGAAAATGTCTCATCCAGACGATGAGAAGACCAAAGACTTCTAAGTTTCAAACATGCACGTTGTCGAGTATTATGGTGTAGTATGGTATAATTCTACTCAAAAGTTAGTTAAACAAACAAAAGGAAACCCACCAGGCCACCACCAATCCCCCACTCTATCCGTCTATCATCATCGAATCTCATCAAAGACATATCCCTTAAGAAACCAAACTCTTTATTGAACATCCAACTTCCAACTTAGCCGCACGGCTCGGCTCCTCGCTCTTATAATACCTAAGCACTATAAGCAATATAGAAATTGAACCCTAACTACTTTGACCAAAAAAGAAAATAAGTAATCATATTCCTACCTTTTTTCTAGACACGATTTGGTAATTTCAAGTTCCATGACGGAGTTGGAAATATTTTCTGAGCGAAGGCACAAATTAGCAATAAAAGTTTGTGTAATACTTCAAAGAAATAAATCTTAATAAGAGTACTCGATAGAAATGTGGTGGACCAATTTGTAACTTAAAGTTTATTTGGAATTGCAGCGACTTATAAAAAAAATACTTAATTAGTAGAGGTCTCATCAAAGTATTTATTAAGTGTTTAATCATATTATTTGGATACATATTTGTATAAGTATTTTCTCTATTTGATAATATGCAATTTTAATCTCTATTCCTAAATTAAAAGAATGATGCTCGCTAAATGCGTTAAAAATTGCTCTTGTTAGCAAAAAAACCACAACTCCAAACGAGCCCTTAAAACTTTAAGTTTAAGTAGTTCTATTTATTTGTTTATTTATTATTCATCAAATTATTATAACAACCATGATCTTAATTATTTTCACAATTCAGTGGGGACACAAATTTCTTAAGAAATTCTAAACCTATTATAAGCCTTTTTTTTTTAGACCTTGCCAACACGTAATGAAGGCAAATATATATAGTAAACAAAGTACATAATAAAATCATGCAAAAAGATAAACAGGGCTTGATTATTTTAATTTTAAAAATACAATCTTGATATTTTGACACTAAATTATAAGGCGGAGCAACAAAAATTTTTAGTGAGGAAATTAAATGTGATTTTCACAAGCTTTTGACATGCATCAATGTCTTGAAAACAATAATCTCAACTGATTCCAGCTGACATAACTGGACATCGTGAGGTGCTCAATTAAATTAGGCCTTCTACTTCTACTGCCGGCATTCCCCTCGTGGAGGCCAAAAAAAAAAAAAAAAAAAACTACGAAGCTCCGAGTCATATTTTATACTTCAAGCTTGGCTTAACTGGCTTTTGAAGCCGAGAATAAACCATAATTGAGCGGTAACAACAACTAAAGGGCTGTCCCCATTTATTTATCAACTAAATTGATTTTGCCTGATTCAGTAATATGGTTGAAAAATTCATGCATCCGAACAAAATTACTCGTTCAATTTGGGATAAGATTTCACATCTTTGTGGGTATAATCCTAATCATTTTTACTTTTCCAATCTACTCTCCTCATCTTAGAAATGCCCATTTTTGTCCATTCCTCTTTGTATATATCTGTCTCTGACTCTGTATCCTTCTCATCAATTTCAAGCTGGTAAGGCACCGGATATTTTTACGAGCTGGAATTTACTGGTTTTGAATGTATATTTTTCACTTTGAGTTCTGCAGGAATTTGTATATAGATCAAAACTTTATCTAACTTCGGCTTTACTTCTTCTCATAAACAGGTTTTTGATGGCCAAAGTTGAAAAAGTTGCAGTGAATTTGTCGAAGATTGAAGGGAAAGAAAAGGGGAAATTCTCAAATTAAATTATTCATTTCTTGAAGATTAATAGAGGGCCCAAGAAGATTGAACCGCCGAAATGTAAGTATCAATCTTTTCATACTTCCATTTTTTAAGTTCCACTTCACGTTTGAGAATAGTAATTTGGCTGTTCAATTCCTGTTACGCATTGCTTCAACAGTGGGTTTTAGCTTTTTGGTAATCAGTAGCTTTCTACTCTGCAAACGGAATAAATTTTTCTTCGATCAATTGGTGAATTGTGAGTGATGATTTTTTTTTTCTAAAATTGTGGGATGAAAAATAACAGTGAAATGGGAACTGTAATGGAGCCAGCCAATGAGATTAGACAAAGAGGAAAGCATTACTACACAATGGGGCAAACTTTGTTTGAGATCGATACAAAATATGTTCCAATCAAACCCATAGGAAGAGGGGCATATGGGGTTGTTTGTTCTTCAATTGATATGGAGACTCATGAGAAAGTGGCAATCAAAAAGATACAAAATGTGTTTGGGAATAGGATTGACGCATTGAGGACTCTCAGGGAGTTGAAGCTTCTGCGGCATCTTAAGCATGAGAATGTGATTGCCTTGAAGGATGTCATGATGCCTATGCACAGGAGTAGCTTCAAGGATGTGTATTTGGTGTACGAATTGATGGATACTGATCTTCATCATATTATAAAGTCATCTCAGCCGTTATCAAATGATCATTGCAAGTTTTTTATTTTCCAGGTGCTGATTCATTTTGAGCTTTAAGTACACTAGATTAAGTTTATCCTTTTTAGTTCCATGAGTTTTGTTATTTGAGAAAGTTATGGATTACAATTTGCTTGTATGAGTACTAACTGCTGTTCTCATCCTAATGGAAGAGGTCTTAGTCACAATTTTCTCTCTGTTTTTTTTTTTCTTAGTCACAATTTTCTCTCTGTTAAAAGAAGGATAGAACCACATTAGCTACTATAGATGCGGTGATCAACAGCCTTTTTGTGTCTTAATTTTGATATGAACTTCTATTTGAAACTTTTCTGCTTTTTTTCTTGTTTATCTCTCCTACACTTACTTTCATTTCTGAAATTTGGGGGTCTCTCATTTCAAGTTCTGAATAAACTGAATGAATTCCATATCTAGCATAACATATTTTGATAGCTTTCCTGATGATTAACCTTAGAGTACTCGTATAGCTTGAAAGCTTTTGGGAAAGACCTATGTGTTAAAATTGGTATTTGACTTAGAAAATGTAATTAGTACATTAGAGCTAGTTCGTAGTTTTAAGGTTTCCCCTGATGGTGAACTTTGCTACTATGCCTGGTGTGCCAGTTGTGATATACAAAACTTCATTGTGTCTGAGGACATTGGAACTAATTTCAAGGCTTATGAGTTCACTGTATCCAGAGGACCATGTATTCGGGACTTTATGCTCATAATCATCTTCTCTTTTTCTAAAGCATCAAAGAGATAAGTAGATAAGTATAAATACAAGTAGCATACGTAGCAGTTATTTTGTAAATCCAGCAGAAAAGGTTGTAGAGGCATTGATCCTCTTCTGAGTGAAGAACTATGGTTTCAATTACACTTGAGAAAAGCTTCAATTTTATATCTTGTGCCTGCATTTCCTGTCAAGTTGCATGCTTTGTCTTTTCAAAATGTTTTCCCGTGGACTATATCTCAAATTTAGATTGGGTGAATGGTGCAAAGAAAAGGTTTATTTGTTGCTTTCTTACATCATGCTTATCATGATGGAATTCAAGACAAGGCATGAGCCTTTCTTTAGTTGGACTTTCAGGGTTTATGTTTTATTTTCAATCTAATTTTAATAACCTTTCTGAGCTTTCACGACATATGCAAACAGAAAATCTTTTCCTGTTGAAGATTATTATCAATTGTTTCATTTAACCTTCTTTTCTTTAAATGCTGATACGTTGCAAGATTACTGTTCTTGTGATTCTTGAACGGTCGCATTCATGGCTGTAGCCACGCTCTCACGTGATCTTCAATTCAAAATGTTAGGTATTAGAAAATATGATGCATCAAAAGCTCTTGAGTTATTCTCCTTAATTTTTTTGCTGGTCTGATTCTCTGCTCCTGTTTTTCCCTCATCACTGAATTGCAATGTGCAGCTTCTTTGTGGTTTACAATATCTTCACTCGGCAAATGTCCTTCATCGGGACTTGAAACCAGGAAATCTCCTCGTTAATGCTAATTGTGCACTCAAGATATGTGACTTTGGATTAGCAAGAACTGGCAATGACAGTGGACAATTCATGACTGAATATGTAGTCACAAGGTGGTATCGTGCGCCAGAGTTGCTTCTTTGCTGTGACAATTACGGGACCTCTATTGACGTCTGGTCTGTAGGGTGCATCTTTGCTGAAATCCTTGGCAGGAAACCAATATTCCCAGGAACAGAGTGCCTCAATCAGCTTAAACTTATCATTGATGTCCTTGGCAGCCAAACTGAAGCCAATCTTGCATTCATTGATAATCTGAGGGCTAAAAAATTCATAATGTCACTTCCTTGTTCAAGAGGGGTTAACTTTGCTTCTCTCTACCCCCATGCTGATCCTTTGGCCATAGATTTGTTACAGCGGATGCTAGTTTTTGATCCATCGAGGAGAATCACAGTGACAGAAGCTCTTTATCATCCATATTTGTCAGGTCTCTATGATCCAAGTCGCAACCCTCCTGCTCAGTTTCCTCTCAGTCTTGATGTTGATGAGAACATGAGCGAAACAATGATCCGCGAGACGATGTTGAGAGAGATCCTTCTTTACCATCCGCCACAAGTTACTTACACGAACACGAACACGGTGATAAATTTTTAATTTGAGAAGCATTTCTTTGGCACTAGACCTTTGGAAAAAGCATAAAAGTTGTGGGGAAGGAAAGAAAGAACAAAAAGTACCAATACATTATTAGTACACAAGTATTGTTTTAGAATCATACTTGTTCTGTACCAAGCCTTGGATACTTCTTTTTGATTGCATCAATTTATTATTTAAGCCCGAAGGGGAAAAGGGACAGTGCAGTGGCAGTGATATAGCAGTTGAATCCGAGCAATTTGCCTGGAGAGTGGTGACTTCAATCGCTCGACTCTTGGGCCAACCCTTGCTCCTCTAAGCTCTGAATATTTTGATTAGTCCAGAAATTTTTGATCTATGCGTTCTTTTAGTTTGAGATCACTGCAGAAGTAGCAGCATATCAGAACCTATAAGAGCAGTAGCTTCACACATCATTCCTTGATGGAGAAACGGTCTTATCTCAAAATTAGTCCATTAATAATCTTAAGAGTCGGCTTTTTTCCCCCTCCCTCCCCATTAATAATCACAAGTGGTGGGCATCTTTGAGGGAATATTATGATCATCGAAGCATAAAGCAGCAGCAGCAGCTATAAAAGGCGACAGAATACGTCAGTATTAACTCAAACTAGTGGATCTCCACTACAGTCTGACACAACGAAAGAGATGCATCAATCGAGTCTGACAGGGAAATCACAAATTTTAAAAAGATACAACAATTTGCAGGGAAGTATCTTATCATTATGCAAAGCTATAAATTGATCAAGCTCTTCTCTTATTTGCTCGGTGTGGAATAGTCAATGAACACAAGCTTGTATCTTTCTCCAAAAGCCCAATCAAGAAAATATACAACACACACACACACACACACATATATTACATATAGCTAAACTAAAAGCTGGCAAGCCATCCATCCATGAAGGTGAATGAAGTTTCTATCTTCTTTCCTCTAACGTACATCAGGGGCCCTTCGCCCATAATGTACGGTTGTCCGGCACGCACGAGAAGAAATTAGAGAGTCTAGAAACACGTTTTGCCGGAAGCCTCCGCTAATTGTTTCCACGTTGTCATTTGGGACTCATAATGGGTCTGTTTAGATAAACTAGATTTTTTTCTTCCAAATATTATTCAACTTGTGTCGTATTTTTTTAAAGGCACACGTTAAAATATATTTCAGATAAATTATTTTTTTATTTTATATATATATATATTATATCATAAAAAATACTACGTTGTCAATCTAAATAATTTTTTTTTTCAAATTATCTTTTATCTAAACATACCCGTTGCTTTTGCCCCGCTCCTAGTGTTCCGCTCCTAGTGTTCAAGTGTCGCAGGATTGAATAAAGATGTTTTACCTAAAACCATGGATGCATGATACAGCCACTTCAACTTTGCCCATGTCAGCTCAATTTTCCACTAGTTGCTTTTTTTTTTTAAACAACTTTTTTTGTTTTTCTTTTTCTTTAATCAAGAAGTGAAGATTGGTTTTCTTACTCTGTTGTCTCCTATGCGTAATACGTGTTAGGAGAAAGCAAGAGAAAAAGTAAATTTAAAAAACGTTAAACAATAATAATAATATTGCTTAGCTTCTTAAACATGACTTTGATGAATAATATATATTTTATTTATCAGACGTAAAACATTTACGTACTACAACATTCTTAAATGCGGTCAAAAGTAATTAAACCTCGTGCATGGATAATGTATATCGCGTTCCACGGGATGGAGAATCCCTTTAGGCTTTAACCCCTGGAAGTTAAGTCAAAAGTCAAAAAAGATGAACGAGGAAAAATGGCCGAGCCAGCTTTGAAGTTGATTGACAGTTGCTAATAGAGGCCAAGTCAGAGTGAAGGTTCCCATTTTCTGCGATTTCCCTGTTCAAGCTGCACGGGATAGGCTCCAGCGCCGCCGCCCCTTATCCAAATATCCACCCATTTGATACAATTGAAGCTTTAGCCACCAAACAACGTGCGGAAAAAAAAAATAGCAAATTTTTCCTTCCAAACGGATCAGTCTACCTATCATGTGTCAACTATTCTCTCACTATTTCAACTGCTAAAAACCAAACAAAAGTTTCTTGATACATTTTCTATTGGCACCATCCCAAAAAAAGAAAAAATTTTTTTTTTTGTTTTTTTCTGTATTGTGGAATTTAGATACTACTCCACGATAAAAGTATATTTGAAGAGAGGGAAGACTAGTAAGTGATTGACAATTCTAATTAAGTCGGTATGAGTAGCGCAATTTGCTTTTGTCTTCACTTTTTCAGGTAAAAAGTAGTGATTGATGGCTGATTTCTCTAATTCAGAAGTAATAGTACTAAATTGGTAGTTTAAATCATAGTGAGGATGGCCAGCTGGCCTCTGAGCCGTCACTTTATGCTTCTCAATGGGCCTAAAAATGTGTATAAATTCCACAGCCAAATTCTCCTTCCTTCCTCCCTCCCTCCACCTCCCTTCCTTCCTCATTTCTTTTTGCATTTAGCTTTGTGAGGTTCGGCCTCTGCCTCTCCCTAATTTTCTGTTCCTCCAGGTTCTGAAACTCCCAGCTTCCACAAAGCCCGAATATTTCTTTTTCCCCTTGATCCTCTACCCGAACATTCATGCGGCAACAGGCGTTTATTCTCTAACCTTTGACATTCATGTCTCCTGTACTCAGCGAAGTCCTCCTCTCCGGTTTCACAATCAGCTCCACCCTCCGCCGTACCCACTTGATGCAATCTTTCTCTGTTGTATTCCTCTACTGGTTCTATGTTTTCTCATGAACTCATAAAACCATCATATTTACATTATTTTCATTGACCAAAAGACTTCTTTGTCGTAAGTTCATTATCCATATAATACTCCTACCCTTTATTATTTGCTTATCTAAAAGACTGCAGAGTAGTATTTTGCAAGAGATTTTGTACTTTTTGGCATATATTTTGCGCCATGTCTTGTACCAGCGGAAATTCATCAGGGCCAAGCCAGATTCAGAATTCGGGGTCCGATGAAGATCCCCAACAAATTATGGACCTAAGAAAACGCAAAAGAATGATATCCAACCGGGAATCTGCTAGGCGATCAAGGATGAAGAAACAGAAGCACTTGGATGATATGATGGCCCAGGTGAATCAAGTGAAGAACGAGAATAATCAAATTCTCACCAATATCAACCTTACAAATCAGCTTTATCTGAACATTGAATCTGAAAATTCTGTCCTAAGAGCTCAGCTGGCTGAACTCAGCCACAGGCTACAGTCCCTCAATGATATCATTAACTGCTTGAATGCTACAACGAATTCACCAGTTCTTGAAACACAGGACTCTGCTTTTGATTATCAGATGATGAGTGCTTTTGATCATGATTTCTTCAACCCCTGGAATTTACTCAGTGTAAATCAGCCCATCATGGCTTCTCCAGATGTTCTCATGTACTGATTCCTTCGGAGAAGTGATCCATTGCTTCGGTGTTTGGCTTGCTGATGATCGGGGTTGTAGACTTCTGGGTGCTTAGTGAAATTGAACTAGAATGTTGTCCTTGGTTTGTAATTGAAACGATTATGTATATTATGGTTGATGTACTGCCATTGCGAATGCAAGTAATTTTCTAAATATTAGAACAAAATTCAAAGTCCATTATTGAGTGGATTAGTTCATTACCTAATTACGTTGTTTTCGGTGTACATCTTCAAGAATGATGCAAGGTTCGCACTCATAATATAATTTGTACTCCCATCTTTTAATCCTTTCATATATGGTTCACAGAAATTGTTCACTGAGTGCGATGTGGAGAATTTACAATTAGTACTTTAGCAGCAAAAAAAAGGGTATATATATTGGAAGCTAAAATAAAAGGAGTATATGTCAAAGGCGATTTGTGTTGCTGAGGACGCCAATGAGAAAATTTTAATTATTTGATGATGACATATGTTTTATCTACACATTCAACTACCACTTTAGGTAAGGATTAAGATTAGTGGACAAACTGATGTACCAATAAACTACTGGCAGAATTAGTGGGCGGACCAACATATATTTCCATTCATGAACTATACATATATGGGCTGTTTGGCCGGGGCAGAAAAGATTTGTTTAAAAAAAATACTACCTCAAATGATGACATCATCTTGTATTGTTTGGTAATCACAAACCGACAGATGCATTTGACCTAACAAGTAGAATTATTAGTATTATACAATTGTTGAAAGGAAGACATCTTAATCGCATTATGCGTGGAAAGTTAATACAAGACTCGCATAATGCTCTGCCTCTAATTGTTAATATTTTAGTTAAGCCATGACCTCAAGGCTAAGGACAAAATCTATGAGTTTTCGTTAATGTTTTGAAAAATAACTAAAATATAAAAAGAGGTTAACAAATCAATAATGTCATCTCTTCTACACGAAAGAGATGAATACAAACCGCCTCGGTCGGATGCTTATTCATTCTTTAATCCGTTCTCCGTTCCACAGGACTCAAATCAATCTAAGATTCCTTGAGAAAATTATTGAGCGCCCCCCCCCCCCCCCAACACACAACACAAACAGAACTTAAAAAGAAATCGATCAGAAGTTTCTTGATTAAAGAACTTAAAGAGTAGAATTATTAGTAGTGAAAGAGAAGAAACACGTTGAGGTCGCAATCCGACGTCTCTGTTATTCTTATCAGTTCCATGTTGTTTTCACCTGTCTTTGAAAGAACAAATAAATGAACTGCAAGGCGCACCGAATCAGCAAAATCACTTTCTAGCCCAGATTAAAGAAACCCCCATTAGACTCTCAGACTCACTGTTGCATGCATGCCAGATCGAGCATATCCACCTATTGAATTGAACCCTTTTAAGAGTTGTTCTGATGTCACAATTTTATGTAGAAAGTAGGATTCCACTCTTCAAGATTCAATGAAAATCTCAATTTCACAATAGACGGACGAGATTCATAAATTTTCAAGTCTTAAAAGGTTGAACAGAGATGCTTCTGGTGCTTGTCTACTAACTAAAGAATGCTAGATCAACTCTACAGAACAAAATGCAGTTACACGCTATCTGTTCTGCACAGACATTTGATCTCTATGTGATTCATATTAAACCAGTCGAATCCTTTTCTCTGGCTATTGAATAAAATGATGATATACGTACAAAATTACTGGCATTGATTTTGCCAGCTGTTGGGCTTCATCAGTTGAGTTAATCTGGTATCGACTTGACCAAACTTTGCCAGCAGTATGAGCAGCTCAGCATCAGGACCTTCTTGATTTGTTTTCTATTGATTAGTGCATCAGCACTAGGACCAGGGGGAAAAAGTATGTTGGAGAGATGCACGGAAAGAAAAAATTATTTGCATGTTGTTTTACTTTGGCATAGCCGTACGTGGTTT